CAGGGCCTGCCGGGGCGGCCGAGGGGAGCCGCGGGCCTGTCCTCGCTGGGCCGAGGGGACAGCGCTGACCTCCAAGCGGTGGAGAGGGAGTGAGGCGCGTTTTGTGAGGGGAGAGTCTGGTGTGTCGAGGACAGACCGCACCAAAGCGGTGTAGACCTGTCCTCTGGCTTCGTGAGCTGCGGTCGGCGCGTGCCGTGAGGGGGGGAGAGAAGAGTTTGTCAGGGGAAGAAACCCAGCAGAAACTGAGCTTACTGGCATTCGCTGGGGTTTAGGGTTTTGGTTTGAGTTTTTTGTTTGTTTTTTTTTAAATGACTGGGTGAGAAGCATATGGCTTTTCGTGTAGATGAGCATACCGAGCATTTTGGTCACTTTTATGTAACTTTCGTTGCAGTTGCATAATGGCAGAAGCTACCGTCTCTCCGCTGAAACACTTCGTGCTGGCTAAAAAGACAATCACTGCCATCTTTGACCAGCTGCTGGACTATGTCTCTGAAGGAGCAACTTTTGTGGAAGGTTAGCTTTCATCTTAAACACAAGGGCCTTGTCCGCTGCTTTGAATATGTTTTAGAGCAGCGCCATGTACATTATGATATATATCAGTGTTGTTTGCGTAAACATACGCCTTCAGAAACAGTCAAGTCTTTCATTAGGTGTTGACTTTTTCAACTTGGGCTAGCAGGAATGCCTAGCATAGTTGCTTATATGAAAAGCTGATTGCGTTGCTTGGGCTGGTAGCCTAGCTCCTTTCCATGATGGTGAAGGCTTAACCACTCCAACATTTATAGTCCTGTTTCGGTTTCCTTTGTATAGAAGAGAGGACAAACAGGTTCTCCCGTTATTCAGTGGGAAAGTAGATCAACATGATGTAATGCAAAGAACCACTGGTTACACCCTCAGACGTTTTAGCATTTAGTGGAGGCGTGTGTGTCACCACATGGAGTTGGTTGCTCATCACCCCTGTGAGCTCTGCAGGGAGAAGAGAGCCCAACCTAGTTGATGTATCCATGAGAGGTCCCAGCTTTCTTTTCTGAAGGAGGCAGGTGTCGCAAAGAGCGGGGCACATCAGTGCAGCAGGCTGTGGTCACAGGGTCATTGAATCCAGCAGTTAGATTGTTGATTAACCTGAAGCGATTTATGTCACAATTTCACAAGTGCTTGTGGTGGAGCTCTCAAATGACAAGGGCTAATATCAGTGTCTGTAGTGTGGTTTTGTTTGTTTTGTTTTATTACCACCGTATAATTAAAACTTACACAGATTTTTGTTAGTATGTGAAGTACTGATAATCTGTATCCTGTATCCGGGAGCACATACACACTGTACGTGATTGCTTTTATGTTACTTTTTCTATGTGTAGCAACATACAAGAACCCAGAGCTTGAACGTGTAGCAACAGAAGATGAACTGCAAAAAATACAGGCATATAAAAATAAGTTAGCAGTCATCGGTGAGGTGCTTTCACGGAGACACATGAAAGTGGCGTTTTTTGGCAGGTAATGAACAGAATTACCAGAACCTAATTTGATTTTTTGGGGGTTTTTTTCTCTTGCAGAGCTTAGTGTGCATATTTCTAATGTTGATGCACTGGAATTAGCGCTTCATCATAGAATTATTATTTGAAATATAATGCATAAAACCATGTTCACACCTATCTAATTGATGTTGAGTATTTCTTTGATGCCATCTTGCTTTGTGACTGTAGATTAATTATGTATGTCTTGTTACGTGTCTTTCACTGATAAACTTTGTAAAATAACTATCCTGTATAGATCCGTTATTTCATATAGGAAGGTCTGAGTTTGTTGTCATCTTCTCCAGAATGGCTTTTCTTTTTTTAATGTGGGGTTTGTTTATTTAATAGCTTTGTTTTACCGGACTATTACTGTTAAGAACTTCTGTTTGTGTTTGATCACAAGTACTGAAAAACTAAACTTTGAGCTGTTTATGTTTCCATATATAAGCAGCTGAAGAAAAATAGACAGAGGTGGTTACCTTGTTGGTTCTATCATTAGTCTGATAGATCTGTGTGATGATTATAAGGGATAACAGTAACAGTGTACTGTACAGCTTACAGATCAATCTGAATGAAGCTATGAATTTCTGCTTTCCTGAATCACTAATTAGGAAAAGTTCTATTTCACAGTCCTTAGTGGTATTACTACAGACCAAGTGTCAAACCTTTTGCATGTTTAGATAATATTTGCAAAGTTATGGGTGATTTAAATTCACTTCTGATCTTAAAAAAAAAAAAAAAAAAGTATTTTCAGTATTAGAAAATTTTTAATGTTGGTCAGCTTGGGATGGTCTCAACTATTTTTTTTTTTTTCTTTTTGCGGCAGGAAAAAAGGGAGTTAAAAAGAAAGGTATTTGTTGGCACCTGAAATGTGTTACTACATGAGTAGTATTCTAAAGAGATGCTGTCAGGTCTGTAGACCCAAAGCACTGAGGTTGTATGTGTCTCTGCTTGTATGTGTTGCGTTTTGCATTTCAGTCTCATCTTAGTGGAAAAGTCTTAAGTTTTCAGTGTGAAATTTTGATTGGGTCTTAGCACTTCCAATAAATGTCTGCATTCCAAACATTGTGCCATTCTGCTCCTATAAAATTTGGAGGGTGTAGAAAGATTACGAAAATCTGCCTTACCAAATGTGAAGTCAGATATAAAATAGTGAAGTCCTTCTAAAAGACTATGGTTCCAGTACTTTCAAATGCTTTTATGTGCCTGGTCAGTCTGGGGCCTGTTAGTCCACTTTGCTTCAGGAAAATTGATTTTTTCTGTGCTTAAATTTAAGCATGTGGTTACTTTTTTTTCCTGGAGTATGAATCTTCATATTTTAGTTCTAAAAGTTCTGTAATAGTATTGGAAAAAATGTGTACAACAGTGTTCTTAACCTTCATTTTGCTAAAAATAGTTCAGCTATTTAAAGAAAAACAGTAAAAGATCAGGGATAAAGAAATCAGTTATATTTCAGCCTTGATATTTCACAAAGTTAAAAGTTGATTTTGCAAAAGGCAGAAGTTCAGAGCAGGAAAAAACTTAACTCTCTGACACTTTGAATACATCTGTAAACTTTTGTACAGTGAGTACTGAACTTTTTTCTAGAACTAGCTAAAAAATGAGTTAATAGTGTATGTAACTTCATACTGTTGTGTAATAGTTAAACCCGAAATATTTATGGGTGAAGGGTAGAGGGTTATGTGAAGTAGGACATTGCTGAGAGCTTCAAGTTCTTGCAGAATCTTGAGTTGGTGACCAGTTCCTTTTAATCAACAGGGTTTTGATTAATTTAGCTACCTCTTCCTTCTGAAATAAAGACAAGATTAAGTTCTGTTATTAGAGACAGCATTTGCTTTATAAGGATCACGCACAAGAAATAAATTGGAGGTTGCTTTGCACATTGTTTCCCGTCTAACTCTAGGTATCTTCATTCAGTTAAGATTATCATCCATTAAATTGTTCTGAGTTGTCATTGCTGCCTGTGGTGAGAATTCCCAGACAGCAATGCTATGAAACGTGTCTGAAGGCAGTAGTACAACACTGCTCCTTTTGTACCTCATCTCATGCCTAGAAGACTCCATCAGAAGCAGCAGTTCCTTTCTGACTGGTAAAAATCAGATATTTCTCTAAAGACAGGTTAAGTTGCTCAGGTGGTAATTTCACAGACATTTTAAGGAGTCACCTTGATTGCTACCATAAAGGGTAGTCCTTCCTGCCCCTGTTATGCAGTGTTCTCCTCATGTCCTCCTCCAGCATCCCTGGAATTCCTTTAGCTTTGCTGTGAGCGGGAACATGGAATCGTTGTCTGATCAGAACATAATTCTGCCCAAAATGTTACATATATTTTCAATCTGTTCTTTTCTATAGGAATGCTAGGGCTGGCATAAAGAAGAGGGCAGGCTGCCCCCTTACGTGGAACAGTGTGTTGTGATTTAGCAATTGCTCTAAGTTGGTCTAAGGCATCTTTTTACGCTAGATGCTTTTTCTGGTGTAGCAAAGTTGAGTTAATACCTTTTACAAATTCCTTACACAGATTGAAGTATACCAGATAAAGCATACTTAGCAGTCCAGGTTGGGCTTTTTGAGCCAGTATGTGTTATGCAAATGAAACTTGGTTTTCTTGGTTGGATAGGTAATGTTGACACCAAGAAATATTTTTGGACCTGCTATTCAGATGAAATTTTCCTGCACTGCCTATTCTTTTCTGGCAAGCTATGCTGTACTGGCTTGAAGCTCTATCACCCAAAACAGCTTGCAGTGTGTAGGTCTGATGCAATTAAATGGGAGTGCATTTGGTTCGAGACAAAGGTGTGTGTTTAATGCTGCTGTACTGTGCTCAAAGTGCTTTTATTTTCTATCCCTCTAGAACGAGCAGTGGGAAAAGTTCAGTCATTAATGCGATGCTGTGGGATAAGGTACTTCCTAGTGGGATTGGCCATACAACAAACTGCTTCCTCAGTGTGGAAGGGACAGATGGTGATAAGGCTTATCTTATGACAGAAGGATCAGATGAAAAGAAGAGTGTCAAGGTACTTTTTTTGAATGATTAATGCTACTTTTCACAGTAACTATTTTCTCAAAAGATTTTTAACAACGATGTCAAGTATAAGGTTAACTATTCTGCATTTTTAAGTTCTTACTTAGGAGGGAACAACAAACTAAAATGGTTTACTTTGCAATTTTTCTTGGCTATTTCAGAGAAACAACTAGTGTGTGTCTTGTAGCATAGCATATGCTGAGTGATTTATTTTTATAGGACTGAGAGTAAGTTCTGTTACTTGTTAAGGATTTGGAACGTGCCTCTCATTTGGCATTATAGTGCTTAGCTGATTTAACTGCTCACATTGATATGTTAAACCTCTGAGGCAAATTCGTGATGACACTCAGTATCACGCACTCTAACCCCGCTCAGTATCACACACTCTAACCCCATGG